ATTCAACATCAAAGCGACCTAACCTCACTTTTTTAGAATCTCATTTATTTATTAGCTAAAGATTACATTAAATGTACAATAATTATTATTGCTTTTAGAAGCAGTAATAGTTTGACAATACCTAGCAACATGATTTAAGTAGAAATGGATTTTTGCTATTACATTGAATTCAATTAATTGTTTAATAAATAGGTAGGTATCTAATTTCAATTTGTTTGGATTTTTATTTAAAAAATAGGTAGTTTGGAATGTTTAAGCTGTGTTTAACATTTAATTTCACTGAAAACTTAAAGCAAATTAAAACTTAAAGATAATTTAAATCGTAGAAAAAGAATCGTCCGTTTTCTTGGTTGCCTAAGCTCACTTTTTGTTTTATTATTCATATTTAATTTTACAATAATTTAATGAAAAATATTAAACATTAACAGTAAATTATAGACCGCGTGAAGATAAAAAATATTATTATGTGGTAATAGAAAATATCATGTTTCCACAATTTTACAAATCCCTAATAATATAATTAACCAAACCCAAAATAAAGGTGGTAATTAAACGAATATTTTTTTTGTTCCTTATAAACCAACTAGTGGCTCATTAAGTCCGTTTCTGGAAAGAGGCCTTTTCCCAAAGGCTGGCATCTAATTACCTAGCGGGACCTATAGGGTTGTTTAAGAGGAGTATTTGTTCACTTCGTAATCAGCTGATGTTGGCTATACGTGTGCTCCGAGCCAAAATAGCGCACATCATTCACAGGTGTCTGTTTATATATTAATTTCGGCCGCAGTGCCTGCAGATTAGCTTGGATATCCAGATGAATTATTAAAGAACCGTTTTGCCTGCGTTTGCTTCTCTATTCGCTTTTCGAACATATTAATTATGAAAAAGTTTTATTGTTTTATTGTTATTCACAATTTTATCTTAAAAATGTGTTTTTAAAGTATTTAAGTCAAAAAAATATTGTTTTTTATACTTATTCTATATTTTATGCACATCATAATTTTATTTCTAAAGTTACATAAAATATACACAATATTAAAAGTAAAAGTGGGGTTAGATCAATATGACAGAAGTCAAATGTTTGGATTGGTCCAAAGTTGTAAATAATAAATTTTATCTCCACGCGGTCTATAATTTCAACTTTATTGTTGTCAACATTCGATAAAGAAATACCTTGTTATGGCCTAGGCCAATAAAAATTTGTATGAGGCAAGTAATTAGTTCGATTTTTTCTGGCTAGGGGTATTGTTTTGACAAATTAATCCTTTTCTAAGAAATTAACGTACTAAACTGGTTTAATTTATTTATAATAAGCACTAATTTGTTTGTTTTACTGTTAATGTTTAATATTTTTCATTAAATTATTGTAAAATTAAATATGAATAATAAAACAAAAAGTGAGGTTAGGCAACCAAGAACACGCACGATTCTTTTTCTACGATTTAAATTATCTTTAAGTTTTAATTTGCTTTAAGTTTTTAGTGAAATTAAATGTTAAACACAGCTTAAACATTCAAAACTACCTATTTTTTAAATAAAAATCCAAACAAATTGAAATTAGATACCTATTTATTAAACAATTAATTGAATTCAATGTAATAGCAAAAATCCATTTCTACTTAAATCATGTTGCTAGGTATTGTCAAACTATTACTGCTTCTAAGAGCAATAATAATTATTGTACATTTAATGTAATCTTTAGCTAATAAATAAATGAGATTCTAAAGAAGTGAGGTTAGGCCGCTTTGATGTTGAATTAAGTTGACCTATATAAAGTGCTTTGAAGATAAAATGTTGTATGCCATTCGGCCAAGAAGTACCTTTTTGTGCTTCGCTCAATTGTTCAAACCTTGAGCATAGCACAAAATGCCTTACTTCTTAACCTAATGACATAAATAACTATTTACTGTCTAGGCCATAAATAACCTAACCCGATTGTTCTAAATCGTTTTTAAGTGCCTAGGCCATAATCAATCACCATTTAAGAAAAAAATAGCGTAATTACAAGCCTATTAAAACTCAATATAATCTGCAATAAAACTTTTGTAAAATAGTTTATACCTTTTATCACAAAAGCTCTTTTAGGGCAATATATAAAGTTTTTGAAAAATTTGTCTTTAAAACTTATCTAGATAAATTACTTTAAAAATTATTGTTTTTATTTAAATAATGTTTTTTACAAAAACGTTTATTAACCACAGAGATATAATATTTATTGTACAAATGATAAAAAACTATATCATATATATACCTACATATAATTAACCCAAAACACTATCACTACATAAGCACAGTTAGATAGCAACTAGACCAAAGACAAGTTGATATGAACGTCCCCACATTAGATACTGTTAGAGCAAAAAAAACTAGACCACCGAATCTTTCCATTCGCAATAAAACTACCATAAAAGTGACCTTCACCAAGACCAAGAGAATTGCGAGCGACTTCCTCTCTCTGCTGAATGCAAAAATAAACGGATTTTTTCGAGAAAAGACCCGCCACGAACCACTGAACATAATTAAATTGTAACAACTCTTCGTCGGCAAACTGTTGTCTAACTGTAAATGGCCACTTTCACCACGAAAGTGACAGTGAAGATACGTATCTCTGTATCTTTTACTTTGCACAATGGGGCATCTCCCATATAAATGTACTAATACGAGCCCTAACCACATAATGTTCGGACACTTCATAATTTATACAGAAATTTTTTTCGTGAATACTATCTCAAAATTATTAGAAGTTATGAAAAATTCAGCTTATTTTGGCATATACCCCTCGAAGCGATTTTTATTTTTAAAAAGTTTACCTTTTATTTTTAGCTTTTAAAAAAAGGCTAACTTTTTAACTTTTTTTTGCATGAGTAAAAAAAGTTATAAATGGGCCCATTAAAAAGAACATAAAATATTATACAAACCCTGAAAATTTGGTAAAAATTGTATAAATAATAAGAAAGTTATAGCGATATATATATCTGCAAAATCTCCCGTTTCCTAAGAAAATTGCAAAAACTCTTTAAAAATAGCATTTTTAAATTACTTATACTTTTTTATAACTTAATTATTTTTTACCAAATTTTCAGGGTTTGTATAATATTTTATGCTCTTTTTAATGGGTCCATTTATAACTTTTTTTACTCATACAAAAAAAAGTTAAAAAGTTAGCCTTTTTTTAAAAGCTAAAAATAAAAGGTAAACTTTTTAAAAATAAAAATCGCTTCGAGGGGTATATGCCAAAATAAGCTGAATTTTTCATAACTTCTAATAATTTTGAGATAGTATTCACGAAAAAAATTTCTGTATAAATTATGAAGTGTCCGAACATTATGTGGTTAGGGCTCGTATATGATCTTTCTGTATACTTATTTTTTACATTGTTTTAAAAGTCTAAAACCTATCCTCCGTGAATGTTACGCTTTCTAGGTTAACCTATATGTTTTCGAATATCTGAGGTAGTAAAAGCATACTAAAATATCAGTTCACTAAGTAAATTAAACACATCCAAAGCATTCGAATCAAATATAAAATATTATTAAAAATTAAAAGAAATAATTTTTATAACCATTTATGTAGGTGTTACCAAAATTGATTCTATCCTCCGTGAATCTGTTTTTGCTTTAGATTTTTTGCAACGGATGACGCTTTAATCATTTTAAATAAGCAAAAACCTCTGTTTACGACATTATAGATGCATGTGATTCCTGAAGGTCAGTTGGAATTTATATGCAGATGAGAGTGTTGCTGTTTTATAATTCAAAAGTTTAAGTTCATTAATTTAAATATACAAAGGTCTATGTCCCATAGTGCGATGGTCCATCCCACAATGAAAGTAAAATTCTTAATGAATTAAATTGATTTTCGCGAATAATTAAAAAATTTGCTTTTCATATTTTGATTAATTGATTTATATATTTTAGTTCCTTTATAGGATGTTACTTTCATACAATTTTAATTAAGGATTCTTAAATAATAAAGTCTTAAAATTGCATTCTTACATAAAAATATTAGTTTTGTAAGACAGAATTAATTTAATTAATTAGAAGAAAACATAATTAATCCATATTAGTTGGTATAAATAAATCAACATCTGCTAAATGAAGTATTTAAAATAGAAATCATTTACAGTAATGTATACGAACTTATAATAAATGTTTATAATTTTGTTTAAAAATACAATAAAAATTTGAAAAAAAAGCATTTTAATAAAAATTATAAAAAAGTTAAAAATGTCACAAACTTTTAAAAAGTGGTTAAAAAATCTGAATTTTTTTGAATTCAAATGTTTATGGCTATTTATAATTATTATAATTAATTGTTTAAACAAGTAGTTCATTACCGATTTTAAAAAACTAATTAAGTAATCATAATCTATATAATTATAAAGCTTATTAATATTGATTAATGAGAGCTATTTTGTACATATATGTATGTACAAAATAGCTCTCATTAATTAATGAAAAAAAATGTTAAATGGTACGTTTTTGTCGATTACTTAATTCAGTAAAAATTTCTTGATGTATTAGCAAATTTTATTCAAACTTTGTTTGAAAATTTAAAAAAAAAATAAAATATAAATTTAGCCTAAATATATTTATTTTACATTTTTTAATAATTCACCCAAACTTGCTTATATTTTTTTAATTATTTTTTTTTGTAAATTAGGAAAACACACTGTTCATTAAACTTATCACACAATCACAAAACGTGACTAAAACTATTCGTAAAAAAATGACAGGAAAAGTAAAATATTAACATTACAACAAACAATTCAATCTGGATAAAACATTCTAAAACTGACTCAACCCAATAATTTAATCTTGGAGTTTATCGACACTAAATTCGATTTTCCGGTCAAATTATAGTATGTAATCATTTTTTTTAATTATTATTGTAACCGAAAGATTGTAGTGATTTTTTAAATTTTGTTTACTCTACATTAGAAAACCTTTCACCAGATGGCCCCACCTTTCTACCACTATAAATATAATACGGAACCTCGCAAATATCATCAACAGTTTCATCTACTTTCCTTGTGTGCAACATCCTAAGAACTGCAACATGAGATTATTTGTAAGTACTTGAATTAAGTTAAGTTTGCACTGTTTCATATATCTCGATATAACTCTTAAAGCAAAAAAGATAGCGTATCAAAATTTTAATATATCAAAAACATAATATTGTTTTATATTACAACCAAAACTTAGTTATCTAGTATTAACATAACATAACATTTCATCCTTCTAGGTTAGTACCATCCTCTTGACGATAGCTGTATGCAGAACGGAAGCAGGCTTTGCTTCAAGTTACGGTGACGGCGGCCATGAAATTGGCGGCGGCGAAACAGGTGGCGGTCATGACATAAGCGGAGGCGGCGGTCATGAAATAGGCGGCGATGAAAATGGCGGTCACGGTTGGGAAGGTGGAAGCAGTGAAAGTGGCCACTTTGATTTTGGCAGCGAGGAAGGCGGTCATTATGGGGTCGATGGAGGTTCAGAGCACCACCATATCCCAACCAAGACCATCGAGCACACCCATCCGGTTCATGTTCCTGTAGTGAAGAAGATTGGTGTTCCAGTTCCACATCCAGTGGGTGTCCCGGTACCTCAGGTTATCAAAGTGCCAGTACCACAACCTTACGCTGTACATATCAACGTACCACAGCCCATAGCTGTACCAATCTACAAGTTGGTGCCTCAGGAAATCGAGAAAAAAGTCCCAATAACCGTGGAAAAAATCGTACCAGTCTATGTTGAGAAGCCTTATAAGATCGTTATGGAGAAACATCATCCAGTTCATGTCGACAAGCCTTATCCAGTACACGTTCCAGTTTACAAGCACGTCTACCACCACACACCCAAACACGGCGGCGGTGGTGGGAGCGGTAAAGGGGGGTGGCATTAAACCATAGTCATCACCATTTTAAATTATAATCATCCAGTCATCTAAAACCTAAGAATCATCCACATCATCATTGTTATCTCTTTTTATGTTTTTTGTTATTTAAATAAACAATCATAATTGTACGTGTACTATTTATTTGGAATACCGAGCATTTTAGTACTTTCTCTGAATAATGGCATGCATGAAAGTCATTATCAAACCTAAAAAAACAGTGAATGTATTTATTTGGAATGTAGTCTAAAACGTCTGATATTATTCATAATACCGTGGCTCGCCTTACAAAGGCTTCTTAAGGGTGTTTAATTGTTCGTTAAAGTTTCCTAATCCTTTAAGAACTTTAACTTGTCTTATTTCAACTTGGATGTGGTGAACATCCTTTCTCGGGTTATTGTATCATCACATCCACAGTGAGAAAAACCATAGAAAAAATGACACACCAGAAAATACGATTTTTTGTTCGCTTCGACTGGGTCAAAGAAAACTGACGTTAATTAGAACTTTTCTGTTTTCATTATTTCCGAATAATTGTTCGGTGTACTGTGCGCATCTCCAGCCTTGTAATACGTGTATCAAAATTTACATGAGAGTTGAACAAGGACAATCGGATTTTAAATTCCGATATCGTGTAGGGTAATCACCGACAAAGAGTCATTTAATCTGCTGTCAAAACTTTAAGTGAAGCGATACTATCATCAGTTTCGCTTTATACCAAAGTGGTATTAAAAGATTATGATTTAAAAACTGTCTATAAACTAATTTACTTAGTATTTAAAGTATATTGGTCCAACATTATTGGGAGTTTTTGCTACACCATTTATATTTATTTCTGTACTAACTAAAGTTATCTTTCAATGAAAGTAAAAAATAAATAATGTCCTCTTCAGTAGGATTAAATTTCTTGCGGATAATTTATTTCTTGCTTACTTTCTATAAATGTTACCTCATTAAAAAATGATATCCTGTAATACGACTTGCACTTTCCTTTAATGATCTCTGCTATAGTTTACTTCCATCATCAAAACATGTAATCTAATATGCGATGTAATGCTACATTATACAGTGTGGAAAATATATAATGGAATATTTTATTTTGTAAAATTTTAGCAAATTTTTTTGTAGAAAACCAGGATTTGTATACAGAATATTTTGTTAATGTTTAACAAATTATTTGGTTAAAACGTGATTTCAGGCAGTCAATCAAAACATCCCACTGACAGTACGAATCAACAAGTTCAACTGACTTTAGCGTCTGAAACGTGGGTTAAAGTTACGAAATATATCAGTTAGTGTTGTAGTAGTACTGATAATTATATTTTACCAAATTTCTTTATAATTTGATAATTTCAGAATGGTGTGTTATTTAATTGTAAGTATGTTATTTTTGTGTTCATTTATGTAGGTATGTGTAATTTTTTTTGTTTAATTAATTAATAAAGCATTTTTATCAAAATTTCTTTCATTTGGGTCTCCATTTTCCAACAAATAGTTTTGTTACTGGGTGTACAAAAAGGTTTGTAAAAATAAGGTCCTTTTTAAAAATTACAAGAATTATGGTTGAATGTAGGATTTTGTTATTAAATCTACAAAATGTTTGATATACGAGGTGTGTTCAGAAAATATCGGGAATTTACGTTTTTTGAAACAAATATTTATTTATTCGTCTACAATAATGTTGTCGCCTTCAAAATAGTCCCCATTGGATATTATGCACATGTGCCAGCTCTTCTTCCAATACTCGAAACACTTCTAAAACTCGATCTTTGGGATAGCCTTTAGTTCTTTCAGCAATGCGCTTTTAATGTCATCTATGCTTGCAAAACGACGGCCCTTTAAGGTTCTCTTTATTTTTGGGAACAGGAAAAAGTCAGACAGAGGCATGTCTGGCGAATATGGAGGCTGGGGCATCATTACAGTATTGTTTTTGGCCAAAAATTTTGTTCAAAATTTAACAATTTTAGAACAAATTTTGCTGCCACGCGTTTCATACCCAAAACATACGAAAAAATTTCATCATCAGCGACTTCTCTGATGGTTTATTACCATTTCTTCCACTTTTTTCATGTTTTTATCGGTTGTTAATGTGCTTGTGCGTTCGGGGCGTTCGTCATCTTCAACGTCTTCACGGCCATCTTGGAAACTCTTATACCACTTGTAAACTCTTGTTTTACTTATAGCAGACTCACTATAGGCCTTGTTAACATTTCACGGAATTTATTTCATTTTTTAAGCAAAATTGGATACAAATTTTTTGATCCATTTCTTTTAACGAACGAAAAATCGCCCAGCTCATAAAACACGTCTAACCTTAGCGGCTGCCACAGACAAAGTAAACAATGAAAACAGCTAAAGTTTTTATCATACTTCGGGGGCATGTATACCAACATAATAAAGAAAATTGTATGACAACCGGACCTTCCGAACCCGCGAAATTTAACAATTCCTGTTATTTTCTGAAAGTACTTGAGTAATTGAATTTGTTAACAGATTACAGTTGGTTATAAACTTAACATAAAGTAATGTGGACCTGGATTAACATAAAATCTGGTTAAAATTAACGAATATTTTTTTACTGTGTGCACTTTTGCATTCTTGATTGATGATGCATTTTCGTGATAGTAATTGAGGACAGGTGATGAACCGCTAACACAAAAGTTATGTGTTTGCTCTGTAACGGCTGTTGTGATCAAAATGATAATGCAGCTATAAAAATTAGTACCCACAAGGTCTTCAAACTGAATGGGGTAGTTAAGATAAACCCAAAAGGGAAATTACATGATAAAAGTCTAACGCTTTCCATTTGCATTTGAATATTAATTGGTGTTAGTTTTTTGAATTAAGCTATTTTAATTCTGGAAGTTGTAAAATTGCTGAATAGGAGATGGTAGCAGCAGGTGATGTACGAGTACATCGTATAACATGTAAATGTCACATTAATATGCTATGCCGGTAGTTTAAATTGTCGTAAACATTATCCCATTTGTTTATAATATGATACGTAACTTAAATTTATTGTTACTGAATTAATGTCTGCACAAATTTGTTCTATTAAATAGACAGGCAAATTCAGAGATGTTATGTTATTTTGAGTTATTTGTGATTTTTGTTTCATATTTACTTTTTTAAGTGAAAATGAATTTTTCTAAACATTAGTTAAACAAAGAATGCATGAAATGGCATTCGGCAAATGGCGCTATAAATCGAAAAGTTTGCACATATTTCCACACACACATACTGAATTAAACAAAAAAAGGCAGTTAATGGGGAATAACAATAACAAATAGCCCGCTAGCTCACCAAGGGAGAAATCATCGGTGATTCGCTCGTACCTCTAATAGCCCTATAGTTAATTAAACAGCCGACTCGATGAGCAATTAGGTGAAGGAAAGCGAATCTTCGGAGAATAATGGAATTCACAGTGGGATAGAAAATATTTCTTAAAGGCCACTTTTTATTATTCAAGATGTTGAGGTTATTTTTTTATTTGTTTTATTATGTAAAAGCCACTAAAATTCTCGTAAACACAATGGAAAAACAATTCCAAAACAACTGGTTTAGAACAGAAAACAAAAAAATGGTTAATTATAAAATTATTATAGCTCTTCTTCCAATACTCGAAACACTTCTAAAACTCGATCTTTGGGATAGCCTTTAGTTCTTTCAGCGATGCGCTTTTAATGTCATTTATGCTTGCAAAACGACGGCCCTTTAAGGTTCTCTTTATTTTTGGGAATAGGAAAAAGTCAGACAGAGGCATGTCTGGCGAATATGGAGGCTGGGGCATCATTACAGTATTGTTTTTGGCCAAAAATTTTGTTCAAAATTTAACAATTTTGGAACAAATTTTTCTGCCACCAAAAATTTCATAGGATGAGCCAATCGATATACCAACATCATCAGCGACTTCTCTGATGGTTTATAACAATTTCTTCCACTTTTTCCATGTTTTTATCGGTTGTTAATGTGCTTGTGCGTTCGGGGCGTTCGTCATCTTCAACGTCTTCACGGCCATCTTGGAAACTCTTATACCACTTGTAAACTCTTGTTTTACTTATAGCAGACTCACTATAGGCCTTTGTTAACATTTCACAGAATTTATTTCATTTTTTAAGCAAAATTGGATACAAATTCTCTTTGATCCATTTCTTTTAACGAACGAGCTCATAAAACACGTCTAACCTTAGCGGCTGCCACAGACAAGATGTCATTATAAAATCTAAAATATCACCATTTTTTGGGTTTACCATTGTTAAATACTTTTTCTCATAATATTAAAATTAACTATAGTTTATTGACTGTAAAATCTATTTGAAATAAATGTTTCGAACCCACCGTGTATAACGTGATATCTTGGTCGATGGTGGCGATGCAAAGAAGAACAATAGGGGTTTCCTCTAGAGTGTACTGAGCCGGTCAGGAACTCATTAACTTCACACTTTATAGAGCTGATGTCCCATTATGGGACTTACTAGCTAGCCATTCTCTTCTGAAGTACTGCTCTCAATAATAATAATTATAATACACTAATACAAAAATACGTATTTTATAATAAACTAATATCAGTTTGAGTATTTTAATACCATGCTAAGTGGTCAATATAAAGACCATTTCGTAATCTAAAATATATGCAATTAAACATACTAAGAGCTCCTTAAGAAATTTAACGCGTTAATAAAATTACAGATTACCGCTAAGTTAAGTGAGTACAGGCAATAATAGTCGAACGGCGTTAAACAGCATCAAATTTATAATAAAATCTCGTAAATTCGGTTCTTAGGGTGAGCATTCGTTTAATCTCCTATGCGGATTTAAAGAGGCTACTTTATTGCTTCATCTGAAAGAGCCGAGTGACATTTTTTGTTGCCTTTTTGGCATCGGTTGTTAGCGCAAATCTCGCATGCCAAGCTTGGGCTGTCGCCGTACGTTTTCCGAAAGCGGGCATCCGCTTTTACATAAAAAGTTACCACGGGAGCCATTGCTTTTACCTGCGACACAAATGAGTCCCATTTCGGGTTGTAATCAGAATATTTAATTTTGTAGGAGGATATTAGAGGAGTGGGAATACACCCTAAGCTGATAATGGTGACTTAAACAATCAAGCCTGTTATTTAT